AAACCATTTCAGGTGACTACCTCTTGAAGCTCATGGAGAGAATGCCAAGAGTGTGCAAAGCAGTAATCAGAGCAAAGGGTGGCTATTTTGAAGAAACTAGAATATAAAACATGTTTTCAGTTATTTCACCTTTTTTTTGTTAAGTACATAACTCCACATGTGTTCATTCATAGTTTTGATGCCTTCAGTGAGAATCTACAATGTAAATAGTCATGAAAATAAAGAAAACACATTGAATGAGAAGGTGTGTCCAAACTTTTGGCCTGTACTGTATATAGTCTCTGTTAGGGTAATGTCTGTGTGACATGTCATACAACTCCGGATAGACGGACACGGCCAGCACCAGCTTCTCCTCCATTTTTTCTGGTTACCAGGGTGACGAGTTCCACGATATGATTGGTTGCCTGGAAAAAGCGCCGGTGACGACACCAGCGCCCTTCTGAAAAGTTCAGAGATTTTCAACTCAAAACGCTCGGAGCGGCCGCACAAAAAAGGAGGAGCGGCCGGAAAAAAGACGCTGGGCGCAGCGCCTTTTTCCTAGGTGGCTGCAGACGCGCTCCCCTCATTGGGAACAATTGAAAAAAGACGCTGGCCTTCTTCTGGCGCTCAGAAAAAGGCGCTATGTGGACACAGGGCCTTATACATCCAAACCTCTTAACTTTAGGTACCTGTGCTACAGTGGTTGTCTGCTGTGTCTTCCATGCCGTGGCTGTGGGCAAACAGGTTGTGCTCCTCACCGTTGACCTCACTTGAGCTGTCGGCACTTCCATGACTTAAACGGTCAGCATCGCTGACTGGTGATGCAGCTAAAGACAGTACACATAAAGACAAAAAGTGGGTGAGAAACAACGAAACATAATGATAGAAAGCAGCTCAGTTTGACAAAAGTGTCTCCTGTTACGCAGCCTTATCACGTAGTTTTTCCATTCCCACCTGTGGTACTAAGTGTGGGTCCCTTCTCGGATGAGGTTTGGTGTAGAGCGTGCTTGAACTGGGCCACTCCACGAAGCACATTACGAAGCTTTGTCCACATAAAGAGGCCACTGCGGTTCCTGCTCGGCCATGGGCTCTCTAAGACGGCCTGCACACGGAGACAGAACGAAGAATGAGACAAAAACTTCTCAAATGGTTGCTGTTGTGCCTTAAATGGGACCCATTATGCTCATTATCAGGTTCATACTTCTTTTCTGGGTTTCTATGACAACATGTTCACATGCTTTAATGTTAAAAAAAAAACCACTTAAGTTTCCTCATACTGTCGCACCAGAACACCTGTATTCAGCCTCATTCTGAAACACTCCGTTTTAGTGGCTGCCTCTTTAAGCCCCCTCCCAAAAAAGCCCACTCTGCTCTGATTGGTCAGCCTTTCCGGGTCCTCGGCATTCCCCGATAAAAAGCTTCTAAACCACAATCTTCATAGCTGAAAACGTGACAGTAGGAATATGATCCAAAATCTGAGATAAAATACCATCATCTACCACGATTACATGTTTTCTTGACCTTAGCATGTAGCTACAAGTAGCAGTGTAGGTTCGTAATGTAAACATTTGCAGTAAAGTGCCTGCAGCAGATGGCTATATAAAGAAATGTTACAAGCTGACAGCAGCTTGTCTTGAAAGTAGCTACATCAAAGCTACAAAGTGCTTTCTGTCCTTTGAGCTACAGTGGAGAAATGATTTTGCAATGTAAAAGGCTATATGTGACCTTGTTGTAGTATCCATATGTGATGGCGTTCGGGTGTACTCCAGCTTTCTTCATCTCAACCAGGACTCGTACAGCCATGACAGGAAGACCCCACACACCACACAGCTGCATCACAACTCTATAACACACCTGAAAGACAGTGAGATAAAAAACATGAAAAAAAGGCACAAATAATCACAAGAATTATCGCCCTGCGGTTGTACGCCTCCATGAACCAGGCAAGTTTCTCTTACAGTTTACATCCATGTCTGTGAAAACATGGATGCTTCACATCCATTGACCCCCGAGATCTATACAATCAGCAAAGTGTCAAGGTGGACACCCAAGGTTAGTGTCACCAATTTAGCATCTGACCAAATATTTCCTCCTCTGTTCCTGAGATACAATGTTGAATATGGCCAGAAAAGTGTAACATTATGATGTCACGGTGAAGCTGACCTTTGACCTTGACCTTTGAACACATTATTTTATCCTATTATACATTTGTGTGAAGTTTTGTCAAAATCAGCCTATGAATTCTTGAGTTATGGCCAAAAACATATTTTGTGAGGTCACACTGACCTTGACCTTTGACAGCAAAAGTCTTATCAGTACATTCTTTAGTCCAAGTGGACGTCTGTGCCAAATTTAAAGAAATTCCCTTAGGGTGTTCTTGAAATATCAAAGTCACAACAATGAAACAGATGCAAGATCACACTGACCTTTGAGCACCGAAATCCAGTCAGTTCATTGCTGAGTCCAAGTGAACATTTGTGCCAAATTTAAACAAATTTCCTCATTGTGTTCTTGAGATATTGCATTCACAAAAAATAGACGGACAAGGTCACAGTGATGTTGACCTTTGACCACCAAAATGTAATCAGTTCGAGTCCAAGTGAACATTTGTGTCAAATATAAAAGATTCCCTAAGGTTGTTCTTGAGATATCACATTCACAAGAATGAGACAGACAAGGTCACAGTGACCTTGACCTTCCACCTATGACTAATCAGTTCATTGGTGAGTCAAAGTGAACGCTTGTGCCAAATTTGAAGAAATTCCCTTGAGGCATTCTTGAGTTGTCGTGTTCACAAGGATGGGTTTGCCGGCGTGGAGGCAAAATAAGAGCACCTCACCAAGAGACATGAAAAAAATATGAAAGCTCTAAGTAAAAATATATAAATATATATATAGAGTCATAACGTACCTCATCCAGCACCTCCACCTCAGTGGTCCTCATCTTCAGGAGTACGTTGTACGCCTGATGCATGGCACGGCTTTTAGACTTGGACAGTCTCACGGCTGCCGGCAGGCAGATGAACCACAGGCTGTAGCAGTGGCTGAACAGACAGCGTGCCCACAGCGCAGGGTTGGAGTAGAAACGCTTGGCCATCTTGTATGCTAGCTTGATCTCCTGTTGGATCGGACAGACATTTAAAGCATGAATGGTTTGAGAGCTGATGAGGAGGGAGGATAAAGAGTGTGGGAAGATTATTTTTGACACAGGGTAAGGTTGCATCATCCAGTCCTCACAGGGTGGGTATTGTGACTGTTTAAGTATGTACACACCTGCTTTGTCCTCTTAGCCAGTAGTGCGGGGCTGCTGGACAGACTGGCCCCTGCTGCTCTGCTGCTGATTGCTGGTCGTAACTCCCGAGGACGGTCAAATAGCTCCATACGCAGCCTGGGGAAACCTTTGTAGCTGGAGAAGGAGGGATAAGAGTGTTACAAGGTCACATGAGCACTAAGACTTTGTTTTGTTATCCATGTTTTTCTGTCTAACAGAGTTTTACGATACTGCAGAAAAAATACACACGTGTATTTGGGGGCAGGTTCAGTTCCATCATCAACTGGAGGTTCAGGAGGCATGACAAAGACAGTGTGCTCGCTCTTCTGGGACTCGTCCAGCTCTAACAGTCTCGTGTCCTCAGATGACTCTCCTTCGACCTGAAGTGAGGATCCAGAACCTTAGCGCTAGTGACAACATGACTTGAGTTGTACAAAAAGCACTATGCGGGTCATTTCCTGTCTGATGGCAGAAAGTAAACTACAAGCATAATACAATCTATGATGCTTTTCCAATTAGGCACATGCTTATTTGATTGTGGTTAGGATTCAAGGATAAAAGAAAAGCAGGAAACGTCCATGCCCCTTGGTGGAAACATTTATCATAAGGAGAAAAAGGTTAATTTATTTACCTTCTTAAAGTTAGTCACAAACATAAAAAAACAAGGCGCGAGGAAATCTGATTACAGTGTAAGCCCTGCGTTACCTTGGTGCCCTTGTCGGTGATTTTATCAGAGGGAAAAAGCTGCAAGAAGAGGAAAGGGAAAGGGACCAGAATGAATCAGAGGAAATTTTGGCTTCCTTACTCTCCCAGTGGATGAATGTTATTTTGCCAATAAAACACAACACAAAGCCTCGCTCATGGAAGGAAACCTCCGGTGGAAGAGGAAAAACACCATAAAACCAGTGTGTGGCAAGTACAGTAGATATCCGAGACTGGCATGACGCTGGGCTGGTAATCACCTTCTCCACGCAGTCGTCAAAGAAGGCCAAGCCGGTGTCCTTGTCACTGACGAAGGTGCACTCCTCAATGAAGCGGATGAATATCTGGGTCTTGGTGAGCTGGGAGTAGAACTTCTGGTGGGCTCTGTCTCTGCTTTTGAGGAACCCTGAAGGAAACAAAGAAGAGACTGTGGTGTCACTTTTTACGTTCAACTGAAATCCAGATTTCCACAGTCAAATCAGGTGTCATTGTATTTCTATCCCTCTTCAAAAACAAATGTGTGGCAGTGAAGACAGAAGTGTTAAAATGTGCCTTTCCCATCACTCTAACTGTATCTAAAATTGATCTCTAACAGTGAAGCTAAATGGAGATGAGAACCAATTTCCCAGCAGCGAACATTAGTGGAGTCTTATTATAGCCGATGAGAAAAGTGATTGATTTGTAACAACACTTAGGCTGAGTGATAGTTGAGATGCTCCTTGAAATAGAAATGCCAATAACATTAAACGTTAGGTGAAGCTAAATGAAGGTCATAAATTATGCACGAGTTACGAAGCCAAAAAGCTCAACACATCCAGGTTACATAGTGTTAGACTGCGCATAAACAAAATCATATCCTACATGTTGATTTCTGAAAAACGAGCTGTGAATCGCTTGTTTACCTTGCAGGTCGTAGAGGGAGTCTGCAGCCGTGGCCTTTTCGGAAGGCGCCTGGGTGATGGGTTTGAGGTAGGAGCGGTAGCCCTTCAGGATGGAGGCCATGAAGCGAAGGAAGGCCTCCTGGATTTCCATCTCCAGGGCCGTCTTCTTCTTGTGCCAGGTGAAGTCTGCTTCGATGGGGGTCATGTCCACTGCCGAGTTTACTAACGAGTTTTCCTGCGCTGTTTGACGGACTGAAACTAAAACACACAACAAACGTCAGTAACAACAATGCACATTAATAAACTACATATGGAACTAAGTATGGAAGCCCAAAACTGACAAAATGTAGTAAAAGGTTATCATACATGTCAGAAACACGACTGAATACATTGGTAACACCATGATTAAAATTGAGTATATAAATATAGAGCTTTATACTTTATATTTATGTGCCTGGATTACTGCAACAGCCCTCTTTCTGGCTTGAATCAAAAATCTATTAATCGACAGCAGTCTGTACAGAATACGCTGCCAGGCTTTTAACCAGAACCAAGAGACTCCAGTTAAAGCCTCTGTACACTGGCTCCCAGTATGTTTAAGATTTATCTGATTACTTTGAAGGCTCTTTATGGTCTCTTTTCCAGCTGTATCTCTGACCTCTTACAGAACCGTACACACAAGTACATGCTTTGAGATCCTCGGGCCGAGGTCTTCTATTTGTTCCAAGACCAAGCGTTTACAGTGAGGGGCCCCGAGGCACCTAGAATGATCTGCCTGAGGAAATCAGGTCATTCCTTCTTTCTTCCTGTTGATTTTATGACTTGTTTTATTTTGCAGCAGTGTGAAGAATTTTGAAACGCTCATTATAAAAAGGGCTCAGTAAATAAAAGCAAAGTACTTTGCAAACTACAAACGTGTATTATCATTATTGTTACACTTAATTGTAATTATTTGACTAACAATATGATTCCTATATTCAGTTATATTTTTGACTTGTCTGAGTCTTTCACTACATTTAATCAGTTGTGGGTCTCCATATATAACCACAGGGGGTGGACAGAGTAACATGGGCCGACAAGATGATGAAATCTATTGCAACAGCCAAAGTATTTTTCAGGCTGTGATAAAGAGTCAGCTCTATGGTCATTTTTCACTTCATAGTTTGCAGCATTGTTGTAGCCTTGGTAACAGACACATCCGCAAGCTCATGTTTATAGCAATGTCAGACCAGAAATTTTCTCCAGAAATAAATAATTGTAGTAAGGTTTTTGCTCTAAGAGGAGGTGAGGTGCAGTTTGTACCTGTGGCCAGCTGGTGGTGCAAGTTGCTCAGGGAGTTGACGAGACTCTTGCAGGGCTTCTTTGGGAGGTTCTTCCAGTTGCTGTGTCTCTTTTCGTCAGACCTGCGACACATAACAATACCACAAAGGCAGTGAGCTGGAAGTAACAGGAGAGCTGAAATAAAATAATCTGCCACGTGCTCATGGTCTAACAAATGTGCTGCATGCTGTAAATACAGACTACAAAGCAGGCAGCCACATGGGCTCAGTATCAAAGCGCAGCGTACAGGTAGATAGTGTTGGTGTCCAGATCCACACAGACAACATCAGGCGGGGGGTCGTAAAGGTCGAAGTAGCGGGAGTCCACGCCCACTATGAAAGGCAATGGAGCGTTGAGGACGCCTGCTAGGGAGAGTGGGCACAGGGGGATGTAGGGACACTGCCACTGGAAGGGGAAGATCATCTGAGCAGAGACAAGAGAGGAAAGCACAATTACTACAACCAGCCTGAGGATAATTAAGGGTTTACATTACACGCCCTGGAGGTACAAATAATCAAAGTACCATTATGCTAAAACATGCCAGTACGTTTTTAAAAGGCTATTGAGTAAAAATGTATGAAAGCTGACGTTGGCGAGCCCAGTTTTTTGCCCCTAACTCTTTACTTGTGTATTATGTCAGCATCAAACTCCTGAATTAAATCTGGGCAACTAGGACACATTTAAGGGCATATAATATGATACGCTTCTTTACTTTATTGTAACTGATTTATTGCAAAACTTCAAATGCACTTGGTGGATTTCTGATGATTGTGACATCCTGTGTATTTCGGAGAAATGGTTGGCAAAGTTCAATTATGTTCATGGAGCTGCAGAATCAACAATCAAGCTCAGTGAAATATAAGTCAAACCACTGGAGGAGAGGCAATATTTTTGGAACATTAAGTACGATGTAGTGTAATTTGTCACATATAGAGGATAGAAATAGAGGTATTTTGATGCAGACCACTCTCATGTTTTTTGGAAATGTCAGAAAATAACTGCATTTCGGTAAATGGTATGTAAAGAGCTTGAGCCCATCCTAGGATATGAGGTTCCTAACAGTGGTTTGGTGCTTTATCTTTGTATATTTTCTGAGGAAAATGTTACTGCTAGTGACAGAAATTTGGCATTTGGCATTATTTTGGCATTATTATGACTTGTCTAACTGTCTGCACAGTGAAACAGTTCACTCTTGTTAATGATAAGTTCACTTCACTGAGGGAATCCTGATTTCTGATGAAATGTCTGAATAAACATGAGAAACCTAGATGACATTATGCATGGAGAGTTAATCACACTACTGTTGAACATCTAAAACACGTTTGTCAAAAAACCTGTTCCTTTTCTCGCTGCTTGTTTTAATGTGTTTGTACTTCACAGCATTCTCCCAGAGTTTCTTACCGTCATCAAATATAAGTAGGCAAGTGACATTAATAGTTATGATAATGACAGTCCTACACACTTCTACCATATTTATGTGCTTTCTGGAGTGCTTTAAAGGCATGTGATCAAATCAATCATGAAAAGTGCTCATTACATAAATATAACTTTTCGTGATTTAGTATGGAGATTAGAGGAGGTAGAGATGGGACTGATCCTTTTAATGTCAGTAATGGAGTCACCAGAGGATCCATGATACAATATTATTGCAATTTAAAATATGTTGCCATATGCTGAGTACTGCGATAAAATATAATGCAATATATTGCAATTTACTACCTTTTTTCAATTGTAAATAATGTTACATCTGTTTCATCTAACAAGATAAAGCTTTCAGTCCGTTTATCTCACTTCAGCCATTTTATTTTTTGCAGCAGCATAATTTATCTACTGGACTGAAATAGCAATTGATTTTATCATTCTACTAAGCTACAAGAGGTTTAATTTGTATTTGTAATATTAATAATTTATGTAATAAAAAAATCAATACTGTGAGGATACGATATTGCCACACAAAAAAATTGCGATACTATGCTCTATCGATATTTTCCCCCACCTCGAAGAGTTAGACGCATTATCTAAACTCTTATTCAACTTATATATGGATGTGCAGTTGAATGCTTGTGAACCAGGCTGTGTTTCTGATCATCTCATGATCAATGCTTTTGTGTGTGCAGATGATTTGGTTATATTTTCCTCCCTACAGAGCTGCTTCATCCCAACAAGAATGATGAAAGGATAATTATGCATAAAAAGGATTATAAAGTAGTATTTTCTTGAGTACTACTTGTGGAGAGACACTTTGAAAGCTAGCACCACTTTTTTAGATGGTGCATAGAAGAGACACCCAGTGGTATTCACTGAATTCTCAGGGCAAAACATCTGTACATACATTCATAATATGGTCAGTACAGTGAAGGTCTGGCTATCCAAAAGGCAGAGAATGGGTGATAACGATGGCTGTAATGTTAATTCATTTTAACCATTAAGTATTTCATGGAACGGCTGTTTTAATATTTCAATCTTATCTTCTAAACTGAAGATTTCAGCAGATTAAACAGCCAATGTTGCAGTAATAAACACTGTGTCTGAATATGACTTCCATACTCACAGCCACCACAGCCTCGGCCACTCCGGTGAGCACAGCAGGCCGCAGTGAGTGCAGCAGGATCTTGCTCTCCAGCAGGACAAAGTGCAGCAGCGTGGCACAGTTCTCTGAGCCCAGATTCATCAGCAGAGTGCCGTAGTCTGCCCCGCTGACAGGGAGGGAGAGCAACACAGGAGATGATGAATGAGTTGATGAGCTCGGGCAGACAACGGCAAGCAAAACAGAAAGGAACTCAGGGGATGGAGTGAGTGTGAAAAGGGGTTTATAACTGGGTTTGTAACTAGAGACGGACGTGAGTTACGTAAGAGAGAAAACTTCTCATACTCACTGTTTTAAGCTTATATGTGGATGTGAAGTACTTTCTAATGTTGCTAAAAAAATATGGCTATTAAATTTCATTTTGTCAGTGCTGCTAAGAGTCTACTTGTTCCACTCTTTCTATTTACTAATGCAGTTTACATATGCTGTCAAGCTGTCAGACATTTTCAGAACCCAATACAACCATTTAGAGGGCAAAATTAATTTCCTATTTCATGTAGGGTTTCTGAGATTGTGTCTAAGCTTCGCAAATAACGAACACAAAGGCAGCAGCAGCAGTGAGTCACGTTAAGTTCAATACCAATTAGTGATTTGTTAGCTTTAACAAAAGCCTGACAATCTCCATTTTTGTGGGTTTTCAAGGAAACATTAGGCAGCATGCAGACGCACAAAGAAATGTTTATATTAACTACAAACTTATCAACAAAATGATGCAGTGTAGTGGTGGAAAAAGTGTCAAAAATAATGATGCCTGATGCTGTTTTTAGCTATTTAAACATGACTGAGTTTGTTTTCCTTTTTCTGGGATAAGACACTGCTCAGCTGTTTTTCTTTCAGACAAAGCAGAGAATACGTCAGGAAGGACAGCTCCACTCAGTTTGAAATGGAATAAAATTCTCAAAGTATAAAGAATGAGCTGAAAGTGCCGCCCTGTGTTTGACAAACTAACACAAGATATTATCTATTGTGAAATGATTAAGTGAAGCAAAGCTAGTTGTACCTGAGGGGTAAAGGTGTACACACAGGCTGGGAGAGGATCAAGGTGTCATGTGCTGAGAGCTGAAAGGAAACATTTTATAAAGTTCATTTAAAGTTATACACATATTAAAGCATACTGAGATTGACAACTACTAGTGTAAAGAGATTATTTAAAAAAATATGTCACCTGGACCAATATTCTCGGCCTCTGAGGGGAAGGAAATGACACATTGTGCATGAAGTGCGAGATGTGCCTGTTGGGAGAAAAATCCAAAATGCAGTCATTGTCTTCATCGTCTTCACGTAATTTTGATACATATGCAGCAACTACATTCAACTAACAAAATGTAAGCTTTGAGATGTGAACGGTGTGCCGCGTCAAAGGAATACTTTATCCAAACGTCACAATTTATATATCGATTTCTCACCCAGGCACTCAGGCAAATGAAGAATCCAAAAACAGAGAAATTTCTACATCAATTTAAGTCATAGGGGTCCACATCTAACAACAGGAAAACTATGTCAAAGCATCCATTTACAAACTCTCACACAACTCATGCAAGTGCCATTTATCCAGTCAAATGTTCAATACTTGAAATGACAATTACTCCTGCTCCCTTTAGAGCCAGACTCCACTGACAAAAACAGTAATTCTATCTCGCTGGACACTGGAGCTGCTGGTCTGCCGCTGCCTCGATCAGCTAGTTTGTGTTACTGTGTGACTTCGGTGTTTTAAAGGGTTAGTTCAGATTCAACAAAGTCAAACAGTAACACAGACAAACTCACTAATAGAGGTAGTGGTAGACCAGCAGCTCCAGTGTTCAGAGAGGTAAAATTACAGGATTTGTCAGTGGAGTCTGGCTTTGAAGAAAGTATCAGGTTTACTTTCAGTGCAGTTCCCCGTCGGAGGGGCTGTCTGTTTGGGTACTGAGCATATAACTGGATAAATAGGACTTGGATTATACTGCACGAGTTGTTATTGGATTCTTCGTTCACCAGAAGCATGTGAGAAAAACAAACTTCATTTCACAAATTCAACATAACACGAGGTGAAATATGCAAACTGTGATTTGGGGGGTGAAGTATCTATTTAATTCCCGCTCAACAAATCATTAAACAGTGCAGCAGATTCTTACTTTTCAATAGGCAGTGGGTGTGGGCCTGAGACGGAGAGCTTGTAGAGGAACATCAGGAACTTGCGGAAGGACTCAAAGAAGGGCCAGCGGGACAGCAGGCAGATGCACTTATTGGTGTTTACAGGCCGGTTGGGGATCATCTTCTTCTCCACAGTGGTGAGCAAGCCCAGCTGGATCTTCTGCTTCTCGCTCAACTGATCCACTGGATGTGGCTCGTAGAACTGGATGGCTGATCCATACACCTGGAACCAGAGATGGATAAAGTCCTTTGGTTACATTTTCAAACTTTTTGCCTTAATAGCCAGTTTTACCTCTTTTCAAAGAGTACATTAAATCAGGTATCAATGTTCTGTCTCACCTTTTCACCAGAGGAGATGGTTAAGACGAATGTAGAGAAGACAGGCAGAGGATCTCGTGTGTTCGGTGCCCAACATTCAATCTTGGCACCCATGGGCAAACAGAACAGAGGGACAGATTCTGACAGAGGAAAAGACTCGTAGTCCTCTTCTGGGTAACGAAAGATGAGACCTGGAGAACAAAGGTAAAGACACATAATAATTATATACTCAAGTGCTACTATGATGCGGTCAAGGTGTTGTGGGCCTATCATCGAAACACCTGTGAAGGAGGGTACCCACCTGATGACCCCAATGAAGCATTTACCCTCCCTAAAACCCCCAACAGCCCTCCCCAAGCATGGCCCTAACTCTAACCCACAATCGCAAGTATGTGCAACAACAACTGACTAGTTAAAACTCCACCTCAATTAAAGTTAGGTAGGGAGTAGGGAGATGTAGCGTGTATGGATGTCTCTCCTTGGCTCTGCCTTTCCTTTGCTCCGTCTTACTTTTCTATCCATCAAACCCTTTGGCTCCCACTCGGACGCCCAGACAGCACTATCACTCCCACCTGTAGTCTCAAGTATGTGCATCAGGGATTGCAACTTCTAGTCCTAAACCGAACTGAACCCTAATGAACAAAATACATCCAAATCCAAAAGTTTATATAGTGACTGAAACTTTCAGACAGGCTACAATTCTGGCTTTATTTCTCTGCAAGAATTCAACAAAAGAGGCTCATTTGAAGAGTTTCACTTGCAGGAAATAACTGTTCTGCTCCTCAGCGTTGTTTGTTGAGATGTCGTTCTGACAAGACACACACATTCTTAACTGAACATGCGCGTACACAAACAAGCCTGCAGACACAAAAATAATGGGCGTGGCAGGAAGTGCCGTCATCAGAGATGAATAAACAGCTGCCTCACAGGAAAAAGGCCAGCCAAAAAGATAAAGCCAGCGTGTGCGTCTGCATGGGTGTGTTTGTACACACACTCACATAAACACTGATTAAACGCGTGCTGGTGAATTGTATCAAAGGCCAAGCTGTTCAAGGAGCGTTCAGTCAGTGAAAATGTCACAGAAGCGTTGAGAAATGCCGGCTGTAATAAGCACTGGCTATCTACGGGGAGATCAGATACACACTGAAGGTGCTGCTCGCTTGAACTTTGTAACAAAAACATAACAGAGGCTGATTGCGACAGCATACAAATCTGCACCATTTTTAATTACACCAGGGTCTACACTCAAATTTAAAGCTGTGTAAGACATTTTTGAGCTAATGTTTAACCAAATTTAAGACCGATTTTTGACTGTAATATATATGTGTATGCAATCCCATGCAGAGGCAGGTATTATGTAGAAATATGTTTATTAGAATGAGTTAGATTAATCTACATTTCGCCAACAGGTAAGTGCAAGTCTAAGGTAGAAAGACAGTTTTAGGTTCAGTGGTAGATTTAAAGATTTGTAACATCTGAAATATGGACTTTCATGCAGAAGAGCTTGACTCATTTTCACAAAAAAAATAAATTAGATAAAATGTTTGAGTCAATTAAGACCTCAGAAATTCAAATTTTATACAGTTTTTATGACTTTTAAGGCCTAATATTTATAAAATTTAAGACATTTGAAGACTTTTTAAGGACCTGCAGACACCCCGTACACTGCATTTTCATACCAATACATCACATCATTTAACAGAAAGACTATTTATTATTATTGCAAAACACTGTTAACTCCAACTGTTACTGCGTATGGAAGCGGACTATATACATTTTTTCTTTTTCACAAATTTAAGAGAAAACTTCATAAATACTCTATTGTCTAACGTGCAATATAAAATCAAGGTAACTGCAGACCTCATTGCTGTCAATTTCTAACATGGTGAGCCCTCAGAAAAATAACTAACTTTTACTCACCAGCTTTGTAACTGATGGAGTTAGACGCAGATACTGACTTCTTGTAACACAAGAACACATTGGATCCCCACTGAAAGATTAAAAACATACATTACACATCTGAATTTCAAATGATGATGCATGAGTACTAGTTCAGGAATCTAAAAATCAGACTTACCATGCCACAGTTGAGGTTCTTATCCACCTTGCAGAAGGTATGTGGTGGCGTCTCGCCTTTGCTGGTGATAATGACGCAGATGTCTGTCACTGCCAGGGAGTTCTGAGGCTGGACGGGCGGCGCTCTGCGCAAGGTGATGAAGATGCGCTGCGAGTTGGCAGAGCTGTTGTTAACGTTGGCGCAGCGGCCGTATGGTGTGGCCTGGATGACCTCGCAGCCGTGGATCAGACGCTCCTTGCCCTCGTAAAGCACCCTGATAGACACAACAGACAGTGGGTAAAAATGTTAGCTCAACACTTGGAAAATGATGAGGCGCATATTGTGCCTCCATCACAAATGAAGATGAGATTATGCACAAAAGTCTGCAGCAGAGAAAAATAAAGATGTAATCCTTCAGTAAATGCTGGTATTACAATGACTCATACATACTACAAAGCTCTCACAGACAATTAGGTAGCTCTGAAAGAGTGCTATCCTGGATTCAGCTCTGCTGTCAGGCATGGCTTTCATTTCTTAAACAAGCCCGACTGCCAAAAGACACATAACTCACATTCTAATGATGCAACAGTTTAGTTAATGCTGCAAAACAAAAGGGCATTCAAGTTTGAAGCTAACAGCAAATTAGGAGTTTGAAACAGACAGCAAGAAAGACAGAAGACTGTAAAATAATCCAGGAATCATCTGGGAATTTCTGTGAGGTGCTCAAGAAAAACAACAACCAACACAACAAATAGTGGATGTTTCCTGCTGGTGTGGTTTCCCCAAATGGCAAAGGTGTCAACCACAACATGAATAATGAGGTAAACAGTCTAAAGCAAAGGCTTTCAGAGTATCCTCTGAAAGCAGAATTACCAGGGTGGATCTTGCAGGGAAAACATCACATCGATAAAGGAAAAGATGCTTTCTTACTGCCATCTGTCTAGTTTATTTTTCCATCAGCCCTGAACCAAGTCATGCTTTATGACAGTATGCAGACAACAGAATACTTGGTACAGTGACAAATTCAACACAGTAGAGACATTGATAAAACCCCAATTTTACTTTTAAATGCGTTGAAGTTGTTGATGTTTTTCATAGAGTGTAAGAGGGAAAATGAGGACATATCCAACTCTTTAGTTGCCATGCTATCGCCATATCGTATCTACACTATCGTCACTATCTAACTTTGTCTGTGTGTGGATTGTTGCTGTGCAGGAAGTATACAGCGCATTTGTCAATATCTTTTAGCTGAGAACGGCTGGAAACAACAGTGATGAGGATGGTGAGAGTCAACCAAAACAGTAAAGTTGCACAAAAACTATAACCTAACAGCCTGTTTAAACCTGGTATGAACATACATCTTTGGTGATCTGATCACAAGTGGACAGCGCTAAATACAACTCTAGACGACCACCAAGATGCACTGTGATCCGATCACTTGAACCACTTGCTGAGGTAAACTAGGACGCATTTGACCACACGTTTTGTAGTGTAAACTAAATAATCCTGATGCAAGGACTCTAATAATTGGTGAAGGATGTGGTGGTTGTTTTGGTGACAGTGTAGTAAAAGCTCCTTAACTTACACATTTTATGTCAAGTTAGACACCTTGCTTTGGCTTATGGAAGGAAACTTGATGAATTCTGCTGGCAGCTATATCTCTAGCTGAGCTGACAGAACCGCTAACATGACTAGCAAGCATGCTACAGAGCAGCTAGCAGAGGAGTGGATGTAATAAATGTGCGTTGGGCAGTAATGAAATCTGAACTCAAGCGGTCAGCTGGAGACGCATAGGTACCGGTACCGGTGTGAACAGGGATGTGTCTCGGCTGCCACTTGTGTTCGGATCACTGAAACGCATGTTAACACCAGGTCCAAACAGGCTCTTTAAGATGCTAAAGTGCTCTGTTGAGCTAATGGGATAAATCTAGTGGCTTCATCACAAGGACGTACCAATCGATACCAGTACAGGTACCTGTAATTCTTTTGTTGGTTCTCAACTTTCTCTCTGTGATAACTAGGGATGCGTGTGATAAGTCGTCTAAAAGATTAAACTTCCGCCCCCTTGCTAGTCGGCACCAGAAAATATTAGTCGGTCAAACCTATTTGTGTTTTATTCATGTACAAGGCCGCTTAACTGTCATGTGGCCGCCCGCCACTAGTGGGTGCTACAGAGCAGTCAGACAGCAGACCCTTCCCCGCGGTAATGCTCGTGTACACTGGAGTTTTAAAACAGCACAGTGGGACATTGGAGAGACGTCCTCTCGCTAAACCAGCACGGTTTGGCAGTACTTTGATCTAGAAAATGAAAACAAGATAGCATGTAGGCCGTTCATACTGCACGGCGCAAAATGCCTCTCATTTCAGCTGAAGTTTAATTATAATTTAGATGGGTTTTTTTTTTCATTTTTGTCGAATAATCTGCAAGGTTCAATGAGCCCCACGTTTCAGAGGCAATTTATTTATTTTAGATGTTATTTTAGTGGTTAACTTTTGACTGAGTTGCCGTCATGTTCATGTTTATACTGCACGGCACAAAGTGTCTCATACTTCAGCGGCATTTAAAATCCGACATGGTTGTTGAAGATCGTGATTAAAGGATTCAAAGGGCATTTAATGCACACAATATTTTTTGGGGACAATGTTTCAAATACTTAACGATAAATTGTGCTAAATTTTGACTGTTTTCTGAGTGTTTTCCCTTTTTTAGACTAGTCGACTAGCAATTAAAATGTTCAATTCGTCAACGGGGAAATAAGTCGCCAGGAACATCCCTAGTAGTAACAAAAACTTTCTGAACAAGCTGTAGGGGGTGATGTAGTTGACTAAAACGCAATTCTGTTCCTCTACTCTTTTCTAATCACTCATAAAGCTATTGATTAATGCAGCTTTAAGTCTTTGAAGTTCACAGAAAACATTATGCTCACAGAAAAGACAAACTCAAGCTCTCCCTTTCACAGACTTTCCATTTGCTTTCACTGGAAATATCTGGAAGGAAACTTCTTAAATTTCTCAAAAACAGTTTTATCCATTTAAATTTACAACACTGGTGTAAAAATCTGGCAAAAAGCGTGCACTGCAATGCTGCAGTATAAACACATCAGTCCACATTCAAACTGATTTAGGAAAGATTTAGAGACAATGAGTAAGAGGCTGAAAGTGTGGCTCTATGGTGAGGATAATCTCTGGTTCTTCTGTTCTACAGAGAGGATCAGTGTGTGGTCAGCACCACTGACTTTCTTCTTAAAGCTCTGGTTTCTCTTTAAGGCCTCAGTGAGAAGCCCGCCTTCAATGGGCGATGTGATTCAGACATATTTACCGGCTGACTCATTCAAATCCCAGACAGTAAGGGAAACTTTCATATTGCGATGCTCATATCCAACGGGCACTCTGAATGTAATAAAACAATATGGATTACTGCCAAAATGTTTTGTGCATCCCCAGTCTCAGTTTTCTTATCACTCCCACCGAGGAGTATCACACAGCTAAAAGTTGCAGTCAGGAAAGCAATCAGTGTCCTACTGTGTTGGATTTTCTTTTTTTTTTTTTTTTTGCATGACTGCAGGGCTTCCATGGCAGCATGCTCCGTGTCCTCCCTTTCCATCTGGACAATGCCATGTGGGAGGCCAAACGCAGTGATTGCTGCCCTCTTTTAACTAAGACAGACCCCAAAACACATTTTTTAATCTTGTGCAGGCTATGTGGGCAGCCATCACAGATATAACAGTCCTGCAACACTCCATTTATTCTGAAAAGAATGCAGGACAAACCTAAAGAGGCCAGGAGGACAGCTGCCAGCGAATTCTCATTTAGGCAACAAAAACAGAGTCCTAATGGGCACAGTGAGTCGTGACGCCGTGGAGCCCCGGGCTGGGAATGCTGGCTTCACTGACAACAGAGGTGGCAGAAAGAAGAATCAATGATTTACAGGTTGCTAGTTTTTCATTTATTCTTTCAGTGGATAGCAGGTGGGACAGAAATCAGCTGATGGGAAGATGTTATGACACGGCCAAAAATATATACTGACCCTCTGTGTTGCAGCTCAACTGAAACAGAAACATCAGGAAGTGAGCCAATGCCATAATGCATTTACTTATGGTATTCTTATTAAACCACACAAGCAACCAATCATTAATTTTACACTGGGAGTCTCTTCATATCATCCCTGTTTGCAGCAGCACAGAAAAGAAGCTTGTGAAATCTGTTATTCAGTCTCATTAAGCTGCATGACTGATTTGGTGTGTCAAGCAAAGAAAAAATCAAACAAACCATAAAGCAGCTCGACAGTGACTGTGAATCCTTGAATGTAACATTGCTTCTATTTTATCCACCCCATATGTCCGTTAGCATGCTAAGCAGGGTTGCGCAACCACTTTAAGGAAACCTGACTTGACATACGATCTTCTGTTTATGCTCAGTGCAGTGACGGCTGCAGGGTTTCATGAGGGTTTTATGTGGTTCTGTAGATTACAGCTACATTTATCTGAAGGGAATCACATTAATAATGTGGAATGAGCCAAATTCACGAGACAACAGGTGGACACCAGTTGTGATCTTTATACAGCAACATCAGCTTTAATTGGAAGTCTGACTTTGCAGGGGAATCTTTCAGAGAGCAGCGCCGAGTCTCTTGTAACTGGAAACTCCAGTTTGTTAGTGGGACACACAAAAAGGCTTTAGACAAAGACTAAGGTGTGTGGAGAGCTGAAATGCCTCAGGCAGTTGCGTCATTGTCCTTTATAAAGCATAGTTAACCGACACAAAGCACCGGTGATGAAATGTAGGTAACGTTTTTGGCTCCTCTGTGAATAAGTAAGAGCAGTTGTGGCTTTAGGCTTACTGGATTTGATGAGGTGAATCATAACGGAGTTCCCTCTTAGAAGATAATAGAGGGGAGCGGGAAAATTGCATCAATGGACAGGAGTGAAGAGGTGTGGCTGAGAGGAAGGGAGTGATGGAAGTAGTCAGCAAGCCACTTCCCTCCACCTCTGACAACATGTGTCATCATGCCATCAAAGTTAAATTCAACCTGACAAATACAAAATACAAGACACACTTTTCACTAGAGCCTTCCTGGCACAGCTGGTATTACCAGGTGACCTTCTGACTTAGAAATTACCTCCTCACATCTGGGTTGGTGTGGTGCATTTGCACAGGATAAATGAAGTCTGTATTGAACTTGAATTCATTCCTCAGATAAGATGCACACAGTCAGGTGTAACTCCACTGTACACGACCAAGAAACACAGCAGCATTAGCGATGATGTACAGTGTTTACCTTTCTTTTTCTCTTAATGTGGGTCAAACAAACAGAACCAACTCTGCCACACATTCAAGCTTTCTCTTTCTGCAAACAGGTCTCCATCCTGTGTAGCAAGATGAGCCTCCTGCACCCATATACTGTCAAACCTTTATTTATAATCATCAATGCTGCCTCCATAAGACTTTACAAGGAAGAGGCAGAAACCAGGAGAAGTCTAAAATAGGACCCCAAATCACTGAGATGCCGATTTGGAGGGGACTAATATTATCACATGACCTCAGTGTTTGGTGAAATATGGCAGGTGATTTATGGTGGAATTTTTACTTGACAAATTACAGACATGACAGATGCGCATGGGATTAAGATCACAGACAACCTCCACAATTATGACAAATCACATGAGGTCCCCAGGTTATACTAGTCCTGTGTGAACAGGGCGTATGATACATGTAGTACTATAAGCCTTACAAATGGTAGGAGGAGTGATGCACTGCAGGCAAGGTCTTTATAACAGCAGCTTCTCCGTAGGAAAAGCACATGTATTGCTAATAACATTAACCATGGCTCTGTTCTATTCAAGTGTCCCAGTAAGCTGTGACAGTGAGCCAGCACGCACAATACCAGAATCCTGAAACTGAAGCAGCTAAATTGAATTCAGCGATCATTAAATCTATTATTCACACCTGTGATTTTCCTCCAATGACATGTCAAAATTCCTCCAATGGAAAAGGCCTCTTGAAAAACACCAATGATACAAGTTTTAAAAATATTTTTGCATGACACGTTGGCTAGTGATTAGCCCTGCTGCAGGACATTTTGCAGATCTTTAATCATACCAGTCAGTATATTTACATGCACAGTTAAGTCAAGCTATGGTTACAGCTGGACTAGGCAACTTAATTGGACTCCTGTCTTTGAGGTGAGTCGATTATTGATGAAGTATGTCCGACTCTGCTACGATAAGTGGCGATATGCCCCCTTTCAGCTTTCTCTTGACCTATTATGTCACAGACCGAACAACCGACAAGCAACTTAGCTTGCGGTTAGCAAGCAGCAAACTGGTACCATGGTAGACAACATATCTTTTTCTTCTCTTCCTCTGTTACACATTTAATGCTATTCGACTTCTGGGTCAAAGCCTGGGGTGGAAACTGTGGAGCATGTGCAGAGCACCCAGGCTAGTTTGGGTCCAACTGACTGTATACATCCAGGAGTGATTCGACTACCAATCACATTATTTTGGTGTATTAGTTCAGTGGAACCTACAGTAGCTTCAGCAACTCAGAAGTGAAGCCACTTATAATGAGTCTCTTGCTGTTACAGGCATGCAAGCGCTCCAGATTACAAACCGTGACATAAACAAACTGCTGACTCACCCGATGTCGATGAGCGGAGACTTCCCTCGACCCCTCTTGTAGCACAGAAACAGCTCAGGGCTCTTGAGGCTGCCATGATTAAGGTTGGCTGGCTGGCCACTGTATGTGGTGTCGATACAAGTGAAGCCCTCGGGCACTGTTTCTCCTGCTGACCTGTTAATGACGGCCAGGTCGGTGATGGGCGCTTTGGGCCCGCTGGACTTGGTCTCTGACAGGTCCTGCTCCAGGGGCGTGGACTTGTCTGTCAGCCCAGCCACCACAAAGTAGTCGGTCACACGGTGACCCTTGTCCTCGATCATGGCTGGGCGTACCTGGAAGGGAGAAAATAGACATATGAGATTAATTTAGAAGGACATTTATATAGCTCAGAGTACATTTGTTTGCCTAATAGACAATAACCCCCCCACGCACCACATTTGTAGAAATATTCTATTCTCAGCTGTGGTTAAACCTCCTGCAAAGCACAGTCTGTTGCTCAACACTTGCTACACATACTGTATTCAGGCTCCAGCTAAGGAGAGCACTGCATGTTGGTGAAAGCTGTTACATGTCACTGTGGGACAGTGGGACGGATTAAACATGCAAGCACACACAGAATGTTAAGTAATACTGTGGCAAAGGCAATAAAAGGATCCTTTAAGGCTGCTGCGCCACAACCAAGCAAACAAACTGGGGAAACACAAGGAAGGGACTGGATCTGTTGACATTCACAAACACTCTTGTCATTGTATATCACCGCACTGCTCCAGTTATGTTGAGAGAGTTAAAGCTCCAGCAGCTACACAGAGCCAAGGGAGAGCAGCCGGGCCCGGAGGAATGCTCAGAAATGCCACCGAGAGCATAAATCAAGGAGACACTAAAGTCTGCAAAACACTTGAAATATTGTTCAAAATTTAGCGCGAGTGCCAAAAAAAAAAAAGTGCAAAAATGTGCTTTTTGTCATTTTTAAATTGAAAATAACATTGTGATACATTACAGTTGCTCTGCTGTAAAGCGTAGAGAATTATATAAGTAGAAATAAGAAGTATAGAGTATGATGTATGTAAAAATATAAAAACAGTATCTAAAATATTAAAAATATAAACTTGTATAATGTGCTGAATATGTTAAGTGTGTAAAAAGAAAATAAAAAAATATGTCCCTTATGCTACAATACAAAGTATAAAACTAGTATGTAAAGTTTAGAAATGTAAAAATATGTGTGTCATGTATGGAAGTTATTTTTAAATTACAGCTTGCGCTTCTGTTTTCTAATTATTGTTTGAGTCATGACACCAGATTAAGCAGTCACTGACTCAGATATTGGTTAAAATGCCAAGCAGCCATGTTGTATTTTCAGACACATCTCTTCTTCATAAAATAACGAATGCAGTGAGGATACAAAGCACAGTCTTAACAGTTAACTAAAGCTAAAACTGAGTGTGAAAATAAACGTATTTAACTGAAATAAAAATAAAAACTAGACTGAAATATACAGGAAATCTCTTTAGTTTTAGTCTTTGTCATTTTGGTTAAATCTGTCAACACAAGCATGGGGAGGCATTGGTGGACATGTTTATTAGGACTAAGTACTCGTTCACAGATTTGGTTGTTCCTTCACGCTCCCTTAATCGGAACTGAATTAGGAAGAATGTCACTCTCTTACAGTGCACATTACACATGGAATAATCTGCATAAGACCTTAAACTTAGACACTGATCTTGTTTTAATTGAATGTTAATGCTTTTAACTATACACCTACACCTTAGCATGTTCATCACCCTGCATTTCTACTTTAGCAATCGTTTACTGCTATTGTTGTTTGTTGTTTTTTATGATTTAATTTCTGTTTTAACTGCACCTTTGTGTGCTTACTGATTGTTTTCAATGTTTTTGTTCATGCTCGGCGTCACTGAAAATGAGGGTCTCCTTCATTTCCCGAGTCTTAAATGAAAGTTTAAATGAATGAATGAATGCATAAAAGATGTGTGCATGACTGTGAACCAACTGCCTTCACAAACAAAGTTTTGTGTTTGTATCGTAATATAAAGGTGTAAATCAAAAGTTTCATCACGATACGATATATTGATTCTTTGGACAACCTCAAGACATTTGCTGATACCATTAAGTCTACGTTTTATTTTGATTCACTTTAATTCAAGGGCCCGCAATCAAAAAGGGACGATATCAATAAATATCCTCATTATCTTTCTCTTGGCTGCTTATCACTGTCTGCCTGGCACAAGGCCACTAGCACTGTTTGAATGTTTATGAAGGATGTGTGCTTGGACAAAAACGTGACACAGAGGTGCCATGAATTAAAATAAAGGCATATCTTAAAGATAATTATATATATTGATGTTTTTACTTTGCATTATACCCCTATGTGATACCTGTTCTTCTTAAATCTTGCCCCTGACAATTATCTACCATATTATGCCCAGTATGAGCAGCAGGCGAGGCAGTGGGCTATCAAGCATGTTTTTTTCTACCCAAAACGCACTGCGTCACTTCCTCTCTTTGGTTTGCTGGATAGTCCATTTGCATTCCAACTGTAAGCAAACCGCACCAGGGTTCACTAACAAGTGAACCGAGACCCAATAACAGTATATTTAAAAAATGCTGCTCATCCATTATACTCTTTATATCATGGTGGAAAGAAATCATCTTCCTGTGCCAACGAAAAGCACCTGACTTATCAAGCCTGGCCAAAACCAACAGAGAGCAGCTGGTTGTCTAATGAGAAAGAGAAACTTAAAGCAAACACTTCCACGTCATCTTCAAAGGGCTGTTAGGGACATGCACAGGAAGTTCAATTTTTCCAGTGGTGAGTCAGCTGTGGCAGGAGTGGAAAAGAAGCCTCTTTGTACGGCAACAGCAAACACAGACAACCCTGGACTTCATGACGCAGATTATTACTGTCCATAATAGCTTTTTTAAAATTTCTATTGTGGACTTGAGTTGCCACCAGATAATATGATATGGTTTATCGATATAATGGTGAAGCCACAGTGCAGGTATTTTGAAAGGCAACCAAGAGGAACTGCAAGAACAGGACGATAGAATCTAAGGACTACATGTGTGAAGCTGTTTCTAGCAGTGTAGGCTGGAGACCCGAGTGCATGCTCACGTCTACTGGCTGTACTAAAGTGCAGGACATCCGTTGGCCTGTGCTGTGGAAGGAATGGCAGGAGGCAGACTGACCTGCCTGGGAGCAAATTATTCAGCCACAGCAAGACAGCAAACAGCTCACACACATTACACACGTTTTCCACACAAAACAAAAATCTTTTCTAGACTTTGAGCCTGCCATTTAGATTTCCATCGACAGCACAACACGCACAACAATGCCGTGATGTGTGTAAAAACCTGCTTAATTAATGTTTCATTCTTTTGACCAGTATTTAAACCCTTATCTGATTGAATGACGAATGCAGCGCTGCTTTTGAGTTCGAAACTTGGCGTTTTGCCCATGTGAACATGCCAAAATTCATTTGTTTCAAGTGCCTCACAGACCAGGTAGCTTTGAAGACTTGTAGCTGGATATCTGCCCAGAATACGGGCCCTTGTTTCCCCCTTTCCTTTTTAAAAACAATGTCGGGAAATCAAAGAGCAAAGAGCGTAACTGTATGAACACCCCGAGCAGCAGAAACAATACAGTTTTATATCATATCCAAGCAGAGACTGAATGACTTTCCATAAACAAAAACAGCAATAAAAGTGCATCAATGGAGATAGGATGGATCCAGGCTCACTTCCACAAATCTTTCAAGACAGTCAGCTGTTGAAGTAACGCAGAATGGTAAAAGCTCAGATGCACTGGGCGTCACAGGTAAAACAAGGAAGAGATTTATCAGACCGGATCAGCATTGTGTTTTGCTAGCCATTAAATTCACTTCATGTCAGTATTGTGCTTCCAAAGTGGGACATTTACTCAGTCTGAGGAATGTCACTGAAGCGTTTTTGTTCTTGTAGCTAAAATTCATAAAAAACCCAAATGATTCCAGATGTGCTTTTCTCCTCAATACAATAAAAAATGTTTGTCCCAATCTTTTAAAAGGCAGGCTAGATCCAGCTTTTAGTTTACGATGATGCACACCAGCAATTCAGAGACACAAAACCATTACATGATTTATTGCTAGAGATTTACTGCACTGTATCCATGGTTACATCTCATCTGTCAAAGCCCTGTTTAAAAGCAAAATGCTGTTTTCAGACTATATTTGCTTTATAATGAACCACACTGTTTTATGTGTTCTCACTAAAGGCTGGCCAGTAACTATATTCTGATGGTCTTCATGTGTGGGTGAACTAACAAGTGTAGCTAAAACAAAACTGAACGCACCTGTTTAATCACTATAGTATGAATACGGCAGACCCTTAATGAAATCAATAAATGATTCATTGCATTCATGTGTCTGGGTCTTTATGAGATTTGAAAGATGGTTGTAAAGTGCAGATGTCTGTGCACGGAATATAGTCCAACACTTACTACATTACTGCAAATAGAGAAGCCCACAAACCACACAGAAAGTATGACATCTAACCAACAGAGAGTTTCAGCTTCTACTGGGGATCAGGGAGTGCATTACACCTCTTTATGATTCTGACACCTCCACTAATAATATTTTCTCAAGCAATACTGTGGATTTCATTCTCTGATCCAAATATTTAAGTCATACATAAGCTAGTCTCGCTCACCAGACCTTTCTCAAGAAAAGAAAGGTCTGGCTGGGCCGACTCTCACTTTAAGATTGGAAAAAAAAAACACCCCTGGCTGTTATATTGCTTTCAACCAATCACAATCGTTCTGGGCAGTGCCACAGCAATGGTGCGCTTGCAAAAAATATTGGCGGGGGGAAACAGGTTTTGGTGTAACGCGCCAACAAAAATATCGCCTACAGGATGCGAACCATAGCAGAAAAATGGCTACATCCCCACAAGATCAAACACCGCAAAAGTTAGTAAAGGACGTGTTGAAAACGGTTGAAAACTGCTACACAACCGGAGGTGGTAGGGCGTGACTTCAGCGGGTGGCTCGTTCCGCCCAATGAGAGGCTGATCTATGCAGCGAACTTCCACCCACTCAGACTATACATAAGCTGACCTAATAGCATTTAAGCTAAAAATTGTACAGTATATACATTAGCTTTTTTGGCCTTGTTGGGGCAAAACAACTCAAACATTAACATCTTATCACCTTTCAAGTTGATAAGGCAAACTGGTTAGTGAATAGTGTCCTGTTTACACATCCAGTACACATGCCATGTAAGCATCCACTTTAAGTTGGGTCTTTTCCCATCTGACGAAAGGAAGACCAATATTCACTCTC